GGTATGGAGTGATGGGCGAGCTGGTTTTATAGCGCATATGTATGTATCGATCGTGGCACCGCGCGACTTTCGAGCGCTCGAGTACGAAAAGACGGATGGGCGAACAAGAAATTTCGCTAGCTCTGCTCTTCTGGCCGTTCTTATGCTGACGGACGGGACGATACGAGTGGCGCCGTTGACTGGTCGAGCCAACCTTTATGTCGATAAGCCGTGAGCTCTAGCGGTAACATCGAATTAATGTTGAAAAATAGATCGGCGACCCTTTTTTTTCTACAATGAGTAACAGGCTTGAATCGTATCATAGCATCTCGATTGATAAAGCTTGTCCACTTTTTAAGTTATCGATTATTCGCTTTGTGTCTCAGTCTATCTCTTTACCTTTAGGTACACTATAAGATCTAGGCTTCGTTAAGCGGTTTCTTATAGTACGCTCGTTCCACGCCCCCTCCCCCTCGCCGCTCCTCACCGCACAGTAGAATGTTAATGTCTCACCTAAAAAGCGACGACTGTAAGCTGCATATCGTCGTAGAAGCCCGTGTATCGCCAAGATACGGTAAAACTTCTTTAAAAATATAGTCTTCGAGAAATTGTAGGGATCGTCCAGTGGCCGTGTAATCGCAGTATACAACTGAAAATAAATGAATCTCCGATTAATGTAATTCTTATATTATTAACAATATGCTTAAAATTATAAGCTATTTGTAGCAATGTACTTTTCTTTTTGTTTTTGTTTTTTATTGTTTGTTTCATCAATCAATTAGCCGGAAAAATATAATGCTTACAGTCTAATAATTTTATGGACACTCGATTAAAGTTCGGGAGTCTTTCGATCGTTATGTGAGGTTCGTTTCAATGGTGAAATTAAATGTTAAAGTGAATTAATAATGATTATATTAAGGTGGGATTTTAGGTATATATTTGTTGCAAATTGTGCCGATTCTCTCTCTGCTCTCTCTCTCTCTCTCTCTCTCTCTCTCTCTCTCTCTCTCTATCACGACAATAATACAGCTGACAGTGGGCACAAATCGTTAGATTGTGCGCGCGTCTCTTAAAATAGCTGAAAACAGTCGGTTGATCAAAGCTGAGTTTGCGGACGAGGAAAGTCGTAATATGTCAAAGTCAAATTTTGTCAGATCGAGAGAAATAATAGTGTCCAGGTACTAAGAAAGAGGAGAGGGACCCCGCGACGAGTAATTACAGACAGGACGACTCGCTAAGTCGCTCCTACGACAATGAAAGAGGAGCATTTTGTCGATTAAATGTCGGACACCATTGACTCGACCATAAAGCACCATAAATAAAAGCGCCATTAGAGATTCAAGGAAAAGTCGGAGGTAGTGATGAATCGTCCCGTGCAGACGGACAGACGCGCGGTTGGCATCGCGGGATTCACCCAAGCAGGCCACTCCAGTCTCTTGGCCTTTTGACGGCTTTGACTCCGTGAAAACACCGACGAGTTTCGCTTCTATTTGGAGATGCCGCGCCATCCTCGTTGCCCTCGTGCACGTGCCTTTACCGCCAAAAGAAAATTCGAAACGCGACCGCTTCCGCTGCTATTTTCGACGGAGGAGACTAACCGTCGCGTGTAACTGGTAATACGTTCATGCTGCATCTCCCTCTCGCTGTCGTATTTTTCAGCCTAGTGATGTACAGCTGAAGGTAGGCTATAGGCAAAGTCCGAGTCCCCACGAGTTGGCTATTCTCATTTGTCGATGTGGTGGCTGTGATATCGCATAAAACTCCGTGCCTCTTACGTAACGCGAGCGGTTTGGTTTATTTCGAAGGCTCGCCGATATCGCGTAGGTCGCTCAGATTTTTTGGCTATCGTTTCTCTCTTATCCTTATCCCCCTCCCCTATACCCTCCCACGTCCCCTACCCGCCACGGCCAGTGCCAACAACCCTTTGCCATCCCTCACATCCCCCTCCATCTATCTATTCAACTATTCGTCTCTTTATCTCTCTAGCTATCAATGAATCAACCACCTATCTATGTATCTCATAACGCAGATTCAATTTTTTTTTTCCTCACGCTTTCGTTTTAAGTTTTAATTTTTTTTTTTTTTTTTTTTTTTTTTTTTTTTTTTTTTTTTAAGACATTGACGAGACGAGCGTTAATTCAGTATCTCATGCAATTGCAGTAATACACTTGAATGGCGACTGAATGTAAGTGATACATCACGTGTGACTTGTTTTCCCAATTTGAATATGATCGCGCGATGATTCAGCCGACCACATACACAATTTGATGATTTTGATTGAAATAATTTAAAAATTTAATTCTTCCTCAAGTCTTATTTAACAGTAATTTAAATTGGAATTGAGTTGAATAAATATTGCATTTAAAAGACGTCAGTGGATCAGTTATTTATAAGCGACGAAATTTTAAGCAATAGTATTAAATGCTCGCAGAATCATTGACTGAGCATTTAGACAACATTGGCTCTTTGCCAAATTAAATGTCGTAAAGAATGATACACTAGTGTGTAACTTTGCGATATATGTCTCCAAGTGTGCATATTAACGTATGCCATTTTTAAGATTCAAAATGGTAGAAATGATAATTTCGTATGAATTTGATAAATTTACGATCACGGGTGCGAGCCTCGCTTCTCCAAAAAAAGTTATTTTCGGACTTTGTAAAATGTTAATTTACTCCATAATACACATCATATACACGATTGCCATTTCATAAAGACGTCGAGTTGATTCTTTTTGCGGATTTAATAATCCTCAGAATTCTCATTGCGTATATACTCTAATAAATGTAGCTTACTCATGCTATACTGCACTTTATTTCACAAAGCTTACAAAAGATTTTATTCTTTTAATAACATTATATCGGATGCTTAGATAAAATGGTTTTCTCTCTCTCTCTCTCTCTCTCTCTCTCTCTCTCTCTCTCATATAATTTTTTTTCAATTTCAAATCTCTGTGACGATTATCATGATAAAAACTTTTATTTCAATTACATATTTAATATTATTTACATATAAATTACCGTACAAAGTGCTTCAAGTGCCCTGAACATTAATTTTATAATACAATAATAATAATAAAATTTTCTCGCTATACTTCAATATTTTTAGCGCAATTGCATTACTTAATATCATTAAAAAATCAATCGCTCACTTTCAGTACATCAATTTCAATAAAGGCTCGGCTAATAATATATGAACAGAAACCGAGAAAATATCTTTTTAAGATAAATAATCATGAGATAGAAAAATTTGATAAAAATGTTCAATTTTGAATCTCTGTATTTAATGAAAAATTATTAAATGTCACTATCGGTTTAAACACCATGTAATGGTTTTATGTCGTAAGAAAAGAAAATTCGTAAAATTAATTGAATTTTTCATTTACATAATAAAGTCATAAGATAACGAATAGCAGAAACAATGCGAGTCTCTTCACAAGTATAAGCTTTGTGAATTTTCATGAAAATATTAATCTGTCATTTTCTGCACAGAAAATAATTAACTTTATTTAATAACGAAATATTCAAAATTTTTATACAAAAATTCAGTATTATCCACTTATATACTATTAATTGTGTAAAAGCATATAGAGTTTGAATAAAATAAGAAAAAAATATCAAAAATTTGTTATAATTATGTTTTTCTTAAAAACTTTATGTAATTTATCATTTTGCACGATTAACATATTGTCGCTTTTTTTACATAGAGCAAATATTTTAAACGTAAGATTATTCAAAGAGGACTTGTTCGATAGAATGCCCATTGAATAGATGAACAAATCAACATTGTTGGCACACGATCTTAAATTTTATTTATGAACGATAGAAATTCACCAAAGACTTCAAAATACATTTTGAAATAAATGTGTGTCAAAGTCGAAATTAACGCTACTATAATAATCATGATCATTAAATGATTATGATGATGATAGTAAGAACAACAATAACGATGTGAGTAACACCGATTCAAATTCAGTCGCATATTATATAGCCGAAGAGACTCTTTTGGCCAAATCCTACAACTTTTAAACTTAAATAAACATCTTGCATCTTACGAGATTACAACGGAAGATTTATCAGATTAATACATCGGCATTCGACGAAAGAAATGTAATAATACTCAAGTCGGCATAGGCGATTGACAAACATATTTACATAAATCGCTCGTTTCACAAAACTCATGAAATATATTTATAAACACTTTTCCATAATATTTTGGGTAGCAATGTCGCAGGTATGTTCGATTTTGCAGTCGAATCAAACGATTTCACATCCAATAATAACTAACATAACTCGCAATTATAAACAAACCGATTGGATATAATAGCCATGAATAACGCAAGAGAGAAAGAGGCGATCACCGATCGGGCTAATGTCTAATAATGACAATCGTAGCGTCGAAGCTAATTATAATCGATAGATAAATTTAAGTGTCCGCAGAGCATCATTATTAACGATTAAATAACTCTTACATTGTTGAGTGTGCATTGGGCGACAGGCCGACAGCTGCACACGTACACTCATAAACTCAAAAATATAATTCCTCTAATAGGATAATTGCAGGGCGGAACTGGCAGGTGCTCTCGCAAAATTGTCGTGGCCCCTTCGCCTTCCCCTTGCGACTTTCGTCGTCAACGATTTGACATTCCATCCACAGCCTCCTTCTGACCTTATACTAACGCGAGATCCCTGATACATATCGGCTAACATGGATTAATGTATCCTTTTCTTCTCCTCCTCCGTCCCATCACCTCCTCACCCAACCCTCCATCCGCCTCACTTTATCACTCTCTCCTTTGTACTAGAAATCTTTAATAATTCCCCGCGCTAATACCGATCGCTTGAATGGAGTAAAATTGCGCTTTTGCCAGCTCGTTAGCGCACCCCGTTACCTATCGCCGACGCTCCACGGCTTCTCTTCGCGAATTACCGAGTAGCGTGGTGGATTGGATGGGGAGGGGGAGGGGTAGGGGAGGTGTCAGGGACTCGCGTAGCTTTTATCATTTCATAATACGAGAGTCGGCGCATGAATTACGGAATTACGACGCTCGTCACATTCGATGTCGGTCGTACAGATTATTTTCGGCAGTTCGGGCTTCGTTTTCATTCATCGACCATAGTCTCTAATCCGTCGATTTCTATACAAAAGATTATATTGTTTTCCGCTTTTACAAGCCTGACGAGACAACATACGAATACCCAAATAGACTTGGCTCGCTCACCATCAATAAATCATGCTTTGAGATATTTTAAAAGCAATCGCCGATTCTATCAGAGCATATCGCACTTTGAATAATTGCGTACACTCGGAGTTAAAATATAAAAGAGCAATGATTTAATTGCAGTATTTGGTCTAGGTAGGATGGATTGCCTAATTATTTAAATTGCCGGCCAAATGCTAGGGATAATAAACAAACGATAATGTATATCCTAGGGGAAGTCACTAAGGGATGGATTGGATAAAATACATCCTCGAGCAATCGCTTGCGAGTTCCTTCCATTCGACTAAAGACATCGAGATGAAAGAGGCGAGCAAAGAAAAAGAGAATCGATTCGTATCAAACTAACTGCTGTCCCGTCGCTGGGTAATTGACAGGGGCCAATAAGGAGAGCGACGAACGGAACATACGGCCACACCAGGAGTTAACCCAGTTGCCGCGAGTGCCCCGCTGATCGCTTGACCTGCACTCCCATCCGCTGAAAGAGGTCTGCAAAAATGGCCTCCTAGCTGCACCCGCATCGGCGACATATTATCGGTCTCTCTCTCTCTCTCTCTCTCTCTCTCTTTCCCCGTTTTAATCCCGTCTCGGCCGCGATTGGATTCCGCAGCGTATTTATGGTGCAGCTCCGCGATCAGGGTCGGCCGGTCGATCTCCATTTTATTTCTTTTGCGAGCTATTGCGTGAGTCTGTTCGAGACTTTTAGAGCCGATTAACTGTATTCCGAACTTCTTTCTTTTTTCGGGCAAAGCACAATGGCTTAATTACTCGACCTTACATCGAGCGTATTTGTTTTCTTTCTTCCTCTCTTTATTATTATTATTACTATCATTATTATTATTATTACTATTATTATGGATTATTGTTGTTGTTGTTGTTGTTGTTGTTGTTGTTGTCATTAGTAATTATGGCATTTGATTGGTACGGGAAGTCGGAGTCGATGGAGACGATGCTCCACCAACAACTTTATATCGCGCATAAATACGTCGATGAATATATCCAAGTCGATGGATGTCAATGTTTTTTTTTTCCTTTTTTTTTCTTTACAAATGCGCTATTATAAAAAGAGATTTCCGACGTACGTGCCAAGAGAACGAAAAAGTGGAGCTGCAGGGACGATAAAAAAAGCCAACTCGATATTTACGTTAACGAAAAAAAAAAATAAAAAAAATAAAAAAAAAATGGCAAAAAAATCTATTGGATTGTGACGTGGCTAATATCGTCAGGCTACACATGCAATACGAACAAAACATTATGATTAATCATTTAACGTACTCGTGACATAGAGCA